CTCCGAGTTATAAAATATTTAAAGAGTAAAAATATTTTAAATATAAATATGAGAATAAATTCATCAATATTTTAAAAATAGATGCTTGAGTAGTAAAATAAAGAAATTTACCTAATTTAAATAGGAATAAGGAAAACTAATAATTTAAAAATATGTGATAAATTTAATTGTAAATCAAATAATAAAAGCATCAAAATTAATAAATAATATTTTGCTTTTCAATAAGTTGTTTTGCAGCAACGTTTTTATTTTTATTTTATTTACTTTAACTGGGTGATCAAACTTTTTCATTGATTTTTTCACATGTATATAAAGGATTAAATTGTAAATCCGCATATATGCGGGTCTTTAATTTAGTATAAAATAAAAGATTACAAATATAAATTGAATCTTCTAGGTTTAGAGTAATTATAAGAATAATAGTATAGTTTTTAAACTACATATTCGGAGTTAATTAATAATATAGTTTTTAAAATACTACATCACATCTGTGCTTTTTCAACATGTAGAGAAACACGGTGACGAAATTTCTGTCTACCAAGTATTCTCTCTCAGACATGACCCCCAAGGGAAGTTCTTAACCGCTAGCTACTTGAATTAGTCAACTATGTCCAGCGGTTTCTTTACAAATCCCAACCTTTTTTAGAAACTTTTTCAAAAATCCCTTTTCACAACTACTTTTCTGAACCAAAAATAAGAAAGTCCAACGGTCCTTGAGGGTTGCGGGAGACGCTCCCTCACCGGAGCTACTCGTCTCAGCTTCATACGGCAGGTATGATGTTTCCCAGCCACCGGAAAACAACCAGCATGAAGAAGGTTACCTACAAGGCAACTCTAGAGCTCCTCACAGCTTTTTTCCCTCTGGTTAAAACAGAGGAGAACTTTTCTCTTCAGTAGGCTGAAACCCTACTGTTGAACTTTCTCACACTAGCGTGAAGAACCATTCTATAATAACACTCTCAGGCCTTACAGAGGAATTTTGCCACACAGGAAACTGCACCACACACATCTTGGAATACTTGAAGCTACAACATGGACCGCCGGTATACCTCTACGGAAAAAGAAAAACACGCAGTTTTGTCAGATGAGTCA